TCTTATTTCCCGGAGAGCTGTTAATCATTTATCAGCACACAGGCCCATCCTCCCTGCCCCTCTCCAACCATCATCTTCCTACCATGGCCCACGGGGTACCTACTAAGTGGGGGACATCGTGTCGCAAGGGTGAATTCTCACGGCTGCAGCTTTAAATGATTTACAGTCAGGCAGCAAAGCTGTATCCATTAATATACTTGCACACAACAGCAAGTCAGTGGTCCACCCCAGAAGTCTGGGGAGGGGTCTGTTTTGGCCACCAGCTGTCTTCAAGGACCCTGCAGTTGCACCTTTTGGTCCCGGCCCACTCGGGTACCTCACAGGCACAGGAGAGCTGCAGCAGCTCCAGGCATCCAGACTGCGTGCAAAAAGCAAGGAGCAGGAGCAAAAGGATTTTAATTCAGGAAGAAAACAATTTAATCTTCGTAAAAAATTCATGCCACAGATACTGTACCAATTCACGTTTTAAAGATACAGAAATGAAAGCCCAAAGGAGACAAAATAACTCATCCAAGGTCACAGAGCTAGAGCAGGCCAATACATACAAACACAAGCCCTGCGACACTGCAGCCTGCACTGCGGGACACACACATCACCAACACGGAGGTGCCAGCAAGGCGGAGGCAAAGCCACACAGCCTCTGTCGATCGTGCCTTTCCGCCTAAGATTTCCTGTTGCTCAGGGACAGAAGTCCCTTTGCTCACTCACCTGCTGCTGCTCCTGCCACCCGTCGTGGGGTCAGTTTGAGGGGCTGGCGCTTGCTGGCTGGCAGGGGACGGCTCCCAGGAACCCACCCCAGCTCCCAGGCCGCCCACGCTGCTCGGAAAATCTCACCGCTCCTGGGCCCTCGGGCCAGCTCCTGGCTGACCGCCTAACGCACTCCCCTCTTCCCTCCTCGGTTTGGGATCAGCGCACCGGTGACTCCTCCCTGGTCTCAGGAACCCCAAACTCACTGACCCCCCCCACACAAACTGGGGTTTGTTTCCAGCTAGAGGAAAAAAGCAGCCTTGGCTGGAGAGGCCACAAGACCCAAGCACTTTATTTTTTATTTTTGTCTTTTTAAAACAGGGTCTCGATGTGCAGTTCAGGCTGGCCTTGAACTCACTTTGTAGCCCAGGCTGGTCTCGAACTCGAATGAATCCTCCTGCCTCAGCCTCCCGAGTGCTGGGATTATAGGTATGCACCACCACGCCCGGCAAGTGCTTTGTTATTAATAAAACTTGTAAATATGAAACATGAGTCCTCCCCTTGGTTTCCCCTGTCTCTGTGAAAGAAACCAGGACCAGGTCTCCTGCTCCGCATGGATATCACCCCTTCAGAAATCTCTGCTCCACTGAACTCAAACTGCAGAGGCCTCGGATCCAACAGGTGCCAGCAGGCTGGGGCTGTGACCCTCACGGGAGTCGGAGCCCTGGACCGCAGCCGGGCATCCAAGGGGAGCCAGGCGCCGGCCTGCTCACCGCTGTCTCCTGACTTCTTCTGAACTTGTTCTTTTGCTTCGTCTTGGTTTGGGCCAAGGGAAAAGCAGACGCGGGACCAGTGCAGGGCGGAGGCAGGAAGGGAAGCCGAGGCAGGTGCAGAATGTGTTGAGCTCAGCAGATGGGCGGGCAGGTTATCAGAGAGCCCGGGCAGACACTGCCTCACAGCGCCCCATCGGCCTTCACCACGGAAAGGGAGGAGCTGTGGTTTGAGTCCGTAATGAAAGACACTAAAGGACGCACACGGTGAGGGGTCTCCCTCCACCTGCCCACCTGCCTGGCAGCCGCCGCCTCCTCCAGGAGTTTCCAGAACCTTCTCTCAAGGAACGCTGGCTCTTGGCACTAGGCTGGTATCTCTTCCTCAAAATGACCCGGGCTTGGATGAAGGTGTGGGTGTCGAGGTAGGGCGTTTTGAAAAGTATACAAAGTGTACGTAATGTCACACTGGCCGTTTTTACTGTGCGTGCGTGTGTGTGTGTGTTTGTGTGTGTGCGTGTGTGTGTGTGTGTGTGTGTGTTTGCACACATGGCACTGGGGTCAGTCCCGGCACCTTTGCTCTGAGCTACTTCCCCGTTTTTGTTGTTGTCCTTGCTGTTGTTTTGGGGTGTTTGGGGTCTTGCTAAGTTCCCCGAGCTGAACTTGAATTTGGGATCCTCCTGCCTCAGCCTCTCAGAGTGCTGGGATCATGCATGGCCACCACGCCCAGCTACGCACCTAGTTTTCAGCGTGCAGCTGGGCAGCATTGTACACACTCACACTGCTGGGCTAAGGTCACCACCACCCCCCCTTCCCAGTGAACCCCGTGAAAGGGCATCTGGGTGAGGGGAGGAGGGGTAAAGGGTGCAGCCTGCTAGAGGACGCAGCTCAGCTGCCCCCACAAGCTTTCGCAGCAGGAGGAAAGCAAAACCCAGCCACAAAAGCAGTTGACAGCACCGACCACAAAGACATCCGTGTATTTCTGGAGAACTACAGCGCCCACCGAGGTGTTCCTGGTTTCACAGCTCCACCCCAAAATGTACCTGTTGTGCCCCTTGGATGCTGTCCTGGCCCTCGGGCCCACGCCTCCCGCTGTGGTTTCCAGGCTTATAAGCCTATGACTCCCTCCCCTCGGGGTTGCTCTCTGTCCTCGACGACGAGCCCTCCCCTGCGCCAAGTAAACTTCCCGCTGGCAGGGTGTGTCCATCGTCCCTGCATGGTTATGGTCTCTCTGACCTTTCGCCCCGTACCCCTCAACACACCCTCCCAGTCCACAAGCAACCGCCATCCTTCCCCAGCCTACATCCCTCTGTGTGTGGCTCTTCACACCCCATCTTCAAGGGTTACCCACGCTGTAGCAGGAAGCAAAATCTCCCCTCTTTTTTTTCTAGTACTGGGGATCAAACTTACAACCTTGCGCTTGCCAGGCAGGCGCTGAGCCACTGAGCTGTATCCCCGGCTTCTCTCCCCTCTTTCCAAGCGCAGTGGTCTTTCCCCCTAAGTTCCCACCCAGGTACATACACTCCGAGAACCTCGGTCCCTATGAACCACTGGAGACGGGGCTGGCTGGGAAAGTGGGTACACGCAGCTACCCGAGTCCTTGTCTGGGGGTGACAGACCCTGTCCTGGGGGTGAGTACTGGAGATGCAGTCAGTGGCTCACGGGAAATTCTGGTCAATTGCGGGGGCACCCACCCAGCCTCGCCTTCCTCCATGGAGGAAATGGATCTCAGTGCTGATCCCAGCTCGAACCCACGGCCCAAAACCTGAGATCAAAAAGTCCCGAAAGTTGCCAGAAAGCCAGAAATGCAGTGGTGTCACCCATGTAGTTCCTGGTCTGCCTGAGTCCTCCTTGGGAACATCCACAGCCCGGCGCAGAACATCACAGCTCAGCACGTGAATATTCACCCTTCCCACAAGGGCACTGAGGTGGCTCACATGGTCATCCCAGCTACCCGGGAGGCCCAAGCAGGAGGGCGGCAGCTTCAGCCCAGCCTGGGCCACGTAGAGACACCCTGTCTCCAAAGAAATATTCAAACACCAGAGGACACCAGCATTACTTTTGTTACAATGAAAACAAAATGACTACACAGGAGTTACACTCGGGATGAACACACATCACCTGATGACACGGGTCTCCCGTCAAGCCAGACCCAAGACGGTAATGTCACAGACCCGGGGCCGCTCTGCGGTAGACACGAGGCCTGCCAGCCAGTCACCGAGGAGACAGCACACGTGGGGGTGGGGAGCGCACGCACACACCTGGCTCGCGTGTTTTAAAGCCTGCTGAAGCTAAGCCTAGACACTTCCTTCTCCCCAACTTCAAAGACGTTCTGTGAGAGCGTTGCGTTTGGATCCTCATTCTTACACACCAGAGTGTCTAGACGTTTCCGGGCCACTGCGCCACCTTCTAATACTTGTTCAAAAGTTCTGCTATAGCTGTTGGCTTTGTTACCAAAACACTTTAGAGGAATAAAACATTTTTCTGACCTGAAACAGCATCTTTGCAGGAGAGCTCCGATTCCACTCCACCCTTCGCATGCACGCTCACGCCTGATTAGTGGAGACACTGCTTCCAGCTGGGGCACGAGATGTTCCCTGCCATCTGGAGCCCCGCCTCCACGGCGGTCAGGGCTGTCATTAGAGCCCGGATCTGTGGGCTCCCGCCCAGCACTACACCCTCAGCCACCCGCAGGTGGGCCCAGCGCTCCCTGACATAGGGTCAGCTGCTTCCAAGTTTGCTAGGGCAAGGACCTGAGTCAGCGTCATCCAGGTGATTTTGCAGATGGGAAGGAGACAGAGTGATGGAGGGGTTGCACAAGAGGAAGGGGACAAGAAAAGCATTACGATGCCAGCTCCCCACAATGAATGTGACCCCTGTGTGCTGCAAACATACGCTGAAGAGCACTCTGAAAATTAAAAAACAGCAAGACCCTGGGGGTGAGGGCAGATGCAGGAGGAGAGGGGCCACAGGTCGCCAGTGGTCCACCTGGTGGCCCGATGGCCAGGGTTCCAGTCTCTGGCATGCACACGCACATGCACACGCACACGTACATTCCTTCTTTCCTTGCAAAATTACGGCTGTGCCCAAAAAGCATGTCCCCAGCGCCATGGAACCAAGGCTAAAATCTTTTTAAAATCTTGGAATTGATGGTTCTTAGCTAAACATGGTGATGCTCCCTCAGTCCAGGACACTCCTACATCTTCTTAGGGCTCCTCAATTACCATGAAAACATGAAAACATAGGAGGATTTCAGAATCAAATTTATTGCATATTAATTCCATTCGGGACTCTGAGTCCTACACTGACACCTGCAGTCACCCCGCCCTGTGGACAGCCCAGGGTGAGACCCGCCCTGTCCCTGGAGGAGCCACCATCACAACCCCTTTCCGGAAGATGCAGAGACAGAGAAGTAAAAAGACCTTGGTCCCACTGCTGCCAGGTGCACAGCCAGGGACACACCCAGCTATGTCGCTCCAGAGCCTGGACTCCCGCACAGCAGCAAAGTGAGAAACGGGGTTATCAGTCCGTTGTGGGGGGCAGGCAAGAGCCATTAAACACACTGATAATGTTTCTCTTTGCAGCCTGCTGAGCTGTGAGCCTGCTCCAGGCACTGCTGTCCTTGGTGCCCTGAGGTCTACACCTGTGGAACCAGGCGGTTGCTGCTCTGTGATGTGAATCAGCCTAGTGACACCAGCTCCCATGGGAGAAGTGCCTGGTGAGTCCTCCCCATGGCCGTCCGTCACTGCTAGAACATCTGGGGCCCCACTGCTCAAAAACCAGCACTTCTCAAAATACAGCTGGTGACCGCTGCCCAGAAACGAGGCTGTGACACTGAGGTCCAACAGGCCCTGGAAAGGGGCCAGGGCGGTCCCCTGACCCCAAATGCCCATTAATCTGGCCAATTAACCCATGCTGTTGACACACAGAAAAGATAATTACAATCCCAGCCGTGGAAGGAATCTGAGCGGATGTCCACGGATGTTGCACAGAGAAAGTGCTCAGCGGAGGCCGGGGAAGTTGAGAAGACAGTGATGCCCTTGGACACTCTCTCTCTCTCTCTGTGGGCCGCACAGAACGACTTCCTCCCAAAGAATGCCGTGTGGAAAGAGGAGGAAGTGCAGTTCTAGGACACTAGCCACTGACCACTGCCAGTACTGACCACTAACTACCCAGCCGAAGGTCAGCATCACAGAGGTGACTCAGAGCGAGAGCGCGCCCGCAGGGGATGGGACGTGCTGGCCCCTCACCTCTCTGACCCGGACTCCCAGGAGTGATAATAGACTGACACCGGCCTGTGAGTTACCACCAATGTGCAGGAGGGATGGAGACATTATTAACCAGGGCAACTAGAACCGGTACAGGGACTCTGCCGTCTAAGCAAGTCTCCTCTACGCCCAAGGCTTCCTGACGTTAAGAATGCACTGAAAAGGTTTTGCACAACTGGAAACTACGGGGAACACGGCAGGCACAGATCCACCCTAGTGCCCTCGAGTGGGAAGGAGCAGCCGCCTGAGGAAGCCAGAACCAGGCTGCCAACCAGGGCCCCGGCCCGGGGGCCTGTCACTACCGGTCACTGACAGGCGTACAGGAAGCCGCTTACTGCCACCTCGAGGGCAGAGCTGATCTACGCTGGGCGCCTGCAGGCTGACTGGATGCCTGGGTGGCCGGGACTCGCTGCTTCTCACGGCCACCTCCGCCTCCAGGAGGTCAGGGAAGCCAAGCAGCCCGACACGTGCAGCCTGTCCTCTGAGCTCTTCTCCGGCCACCGTACCGAAAAGTCTCAAGACGATGGAAACTGGAAGCCAGATATGGAGCCAAAAGCGCCCCTGCCTTGCTGGAACCTGATGCTGGAGGAAAGCTGCCCTCCGTGGGATTCCAGAAAGCCCTAAACCTATTAGCACTCGGACTCAGAATCCCCAGACACCAAGGCAGGACGTGAAGCTGTGGGCAGACACTATGCTACCATCCTGCCAGCCAGCACACCTGCCTGGGCATGGGGAAGGGGTTACAGAGGACACAGGCAGGAAGTGGGCTGGAGGGCTCGTCCAATCAGGAGGCAGGATAGGGAACATCGCCCATCGCCATAACAACCACCAGCCCTGCCTGCCCGGCTCCAGGAGGAGACTTTATAAATACCCTCCTCTGCCCCCTAGGAAGTTGCCCGCTGTGTCTGCACTGGGAGAGGAGGACCCCAAGGCACAGGGGTGAAGCCGCTCAGCAGGCGCTGAGCCAGGACAGAGGCAGCCCTGCCACGATCAAAAGCCACACCCTACCAGATCAAAGGAGCCCGCACGCACCGTGTCACAGAACCGCGTGGGTGAACGGGAAGAACAGGAGCTGGATGTGTGACCAGTTTACACCAGCGCGCTGCACAGGAGAGGGAGGCCTGAGGAGGCCTGCATTCTGCCTTCTCATGCCCTGGGGCCATGTGCGTGGTCCTACAGCCCCACGTGCAGGGGCATGGACCCACAGGAGGACAGACTAACCTCACCCCACCAAAGTCCTGGGTGTGTGAACATCAGTGCTGGACCCAAACCAAGCTGGGGTGGGGCGGAGGACGCACTCTGCCCCATCAACAGTGAGGAAAGGCCCACTGCTTTCGTCCTCCAGAACAAGACTGCCCAGCCCTGGGGAGTCCCTGTCTCCAAGACGCACCCCTCAACCCATCTCCTGCCTGTCCCCACCAGGCAAGGAGACTCCTCCAGGTCCTGGCCTTAATTTTGTCTAAGAAATTGAGGCAGGGAACTAAACAGCTTTATCTAAGTAGCACCTGGTCACTTCCAGGCACAGCTGACCACTCTGTGCTCTTCTCAGTGAGGGCTGGACTCACAGCTGGCCTGAAAAGTGAACTCAGCAGAGCGGAAAGGTCTGTCCCTCCTGTCACACTGCTGAGTGCAGGACTCCGGAAGGAATCCGCTTGTTATGAGCACTGAACCCACAGCTCTGGTCTCCTTCATACGCTGATGCAGAAATCTGTGTACAAATTCAATTTGCTCTAGCGCCAGAAACGAATGCCCCAGGCAGTTAGGAAATAACTCTGAGGTCACTGCTGGTTTACAGGATGTCATCAGGAGCACAGGAGCAGCACCCTTGCTGACCCCATCAGGACCGGGGCAGAAGTCTGGGAAGCCCCGGTCACAAGGATCCCGTGACTCTAACACAGCTTGCAGGGGTAACCCCATGCACTGCCACTGGGGAGCCCCAAGAACGAGGGGGGCCCAGGACAAGCTGCCCCAGAATGGAGATGGTGTCAGACTCGGTACCTCCAGATCCCACCGGATTGGGCCCTGATATCCAGGGGATCACGTGTCCCTGAGGCACATGAACAGCACAGCACAGCACACCCGTGTTTACAGCAGCACAGTTCCTAACTGCTCCGTCTTGGAAAGAGCCCACACCTCCACCAGCAGAGGCACAGGTAGAGAAGCGCCATGGAGCACCTCTCTGCCGTAAAGAAGTCAGTCGGCAGCAGGACGGCGCGCCCTGAGACCATGATGTCCAGTGAAATAAACCAGACACACGAGCTTCGACATCGCACGGTTTTCCTGGGAAACCCAACGCATGGGCAAATCGAAGACTAAAATGAAAGCTAAGTACCAGGAAGCAGGAAGGCGGATCTTTGGCAGATAGAAGGGGACTAGGAGAGGAGGAGGGTGGGGCGGTGAGATGCAGTAGGACGCCGCACTCACAGACACCCACTCGACGGACGCACCGCAACCTGCACTAATAACCTTAATGCTAAGAAAAGGACTGAGCTGGGACTCGGCCCCAGGCCTCCCAAGGGAGCTAGGACCTGGGCACAACCTTCTCACCGTGACCTGGAGGAACAGCTCCAACCAGGACCACTGACAGCCCGCGGTGACCAGCAGAAAGGCCGACCTGGGGCACCTAACAATCTCAGCTGCCTTTCACGACACGCAGAACTCTCGTCTCAAGTTCCTAATGGGGTGGCATAACTAATCAGCAACCCAGCTGTCTTGAAAGAAGAATAATTGAGCTCCCTCATCAAAGAAAATAAAAAGATTGGCGCTCTTAAGTTCTGGCGCTTAATAAATCAGCATGCAGATGAAATCCCCCGAACGGAAGCTCGCACACAGCAGCCTTTGATACTGGTTTTCTTCTCTCCTGGCAGATGCAGGCGAAGCAAGAGCTCCGCACCGAGCTACGCTCCCAGCAGATGGGAGATCCGCAGAGCTTCCTTCCAGGCGGCAGCCACACAGGACCAGCCCGGACAAAAGCACACTGAGTCTGTCCTTCCTGGGAGGGCACTTTTAGGGGACAGTGGCTCCCCCACCCGCTCAGTGGGGTCTGCCCGAAATTCAGGTACATGGTTTCATTGACAGGAACTGATTTAAAAGTCACTCAGCAGCAAGTGACCCACCTCAGTCTGGAAGCACACCTTTGTAAAGCCGCCCTTGCCCTGTTTCGCTGGCTCTGGGGGAGTGGGGAGGAGGCGGCTCCCAGAGAACCACGCAGGGTTTGGGGCTGGGTTTCCTCACCTGTGTCTCCTAAGAAAGGAGAAATGAGGTGGAGTCCAGGTTCACCCCGCCACTCTCCTTCCTTCCTGAAAACCACATCCTGAGCTAAGGAACGCAGTTCCTCCCAGAGATCTTGAACATGTTCATTTGCTAAATCCATTTATTTCTCCTTAAAATTCTGCAGCACCAGGATGCTAGTCACAGTGAAGGAAAAGGAGCTCATTTACTTCAAAATGAACCCAGCCAGATGCCTACAGAGATCACATTTTTATTTTCTCTTTCCCTATTAAAAAATATGTCTTGTGATGTACGCCTGTAACCTCAGCACTGGGGAGGCCGAGGCAGGAGGATCGTTGCAAGTCCAAGACCAGCCAGGGTTACAAAGTGACTTCAAGACCAGGCCAAACTGCATAGCAAGACCCTGTCTCAAAAAAAAGACTCTGCTTACCCCAACCTTCCTTGACTACCAGGGGCTTTCTCTGAAGGGATTTCAGGGTGAGAGTGAATTTCAGTTTCTAAGTAAACGCCTCAATTGTCAGCCTCAGCTGATCCCCATGGGGCGGGGCGGGGGGGGGGGGGGGACAGGACCTAGCACTACAGACAGGCAGACTCCTCCTGCCTGCCCCTCAGGACAGCTGCTGCCTCAGGGGATTTCTGGGGTCTCAGTTCTCATCAATATATTAAATATTGATTGGCAATCACATCCGGGCCCACATTTCCAGCCCCGCAAGGAGCAGGAGTGACCCCCACCCAGCCACCCACGGCCTGTGCGAGTCTGGGGGGGAGGTCAGTGAAGGCCGCACCCCAGGGGGGCAGGGTGCCAGCACACAGGCTCAGCGCGGTGCAAGGCTGTGAGTGAGACAAAGTGCGAAGCTGTGAGGGTGCAGGGTCCAGCGACCTGGACAGTCCAGGAAAAGAGACGGAAAGGGCAGCAGGGGTGATGTCCTGGAGGATGAGCCACCCAGGGCACATGGTGAACACGGGTGCCATGCTGAGGGGAGCCCGCGGGAGGGTGGACCTGGGGCTGGGGCGGAGGGAGGTGACGCCCTGAGGGTCACAGCAGGAGCTTCGTCCTCAGCCACGGCCAGGAGAGGTGGGGGGGGGCCCCACAGTAAGCAGTCAGGGGTTGAAATTCTGCTTCTGGGGCTACTTTTTTAAATAACTGGATGTGTAAACATCTGAGCATGGCCCCTAGAGATTTTTGAGAGCCATTAGGTCCAGGCTGTTGTGTAGACAGGAACAATGCAGTCACCCAGCACCCAGAAAGGCTGAGGCAGGAGGATTGCAAGTTACATTCCTAGCTTTTGTGAGGCACCCGTCTCCAAAGAAAAAACCAAGAAGGGCTGGGAATGGAGCTCAGTGCAGAGGCCTCGGTTCAACCTCCAGAATCGAAAAACCAAACAAGCAAAAACTAAACTAAACCAAAATAGCCTGGCAAGTGCAGAGTCCTGAGTTTAATTCCCAGTACTGAAAATAAATATATAAACAAATAAATAATAAAATAAATACATAAGATAACCCAGAGGCCAGTCCCCGGCACTGGCTTGGGCTCATTTAGCTATAGGAAGTGGGGATCTTCACAGGAAGACCTGTGAACTTGACCTCAGGGCAGACGGGAGGCCAGGGGCTGCTGCTAAGGGGGAGCCAGAGAGGGACAGTGAGAGGAGAGCCAGCTGGGGGTGTGGCCCCAGGACACCCGTGACAACAGGTGACCACTCTGCCTGTGAGTAACCCACGGTTGCCAGTGGCCACAGGGACAGCATGGCCTCTGCCCCAGGCCCAGGACGCGCGCCCCAGGCCCCAGGCTTGAGGAGGACTCTTGGTGACCCGGATCTGCACCACGTGCAGGGTGGAGGAGAAGGGCCAACGGGGACACAGTGGTCACTACATGGGTGCTGGCAGGGGGCCCCAAAGGCCTGAACAGGGGCCATCACGAGGAAGAAGGGGCGGCCCCCAGAGATTAACTCGGGAGACTGCACAGGCGCAGGGAGGAGGAAGAGGAGCCAGACTGGGGTGGGGTGCTCAGCTGGGGGTTCCTCGACCCTCCATCCACCTCCACACCCCCTGATGTTGGGGGTGGGTGCTGAGGGTTGAACCCACTGCCTGTGGGTCCACCTGCACCCGCAGCCCTTGTTCAACTTTTAAATTTTGAGGCATTGGTTCACTGTGTTGCTAAATTGCCCAGGCGGGGCTCAAAATTGTGATCTTCTTTGCTACATTCCCTAACTTTGTGTGTGTGTGTGTTGTTTTGTTTTTGTCTTTTTGAGACAGGGTCTCGCTATGCAGTTCAGGCTGAACTTGAGCTCACTTTGTAGCCCAGGCTGGTCTTGAACTTGCAATGATCCTCCTGCCTCAGCCTCCCAAATGCTAGGTTTACAGGGGTGAGCCACCACACCCCGCCTCCCCTAACTTTTAAAGATGAGCACTGTGACAGAAAGAAGACAGGCCATTCATCACCCTCCAGCAATTCTTGCTAGAAGAAAACGTCACCTCCTCACACAGCGCCTTAACAAGAGGAGCAGTTGATGATGGGGACTTGGGGTTCACTCCAGTTCCACTAAGCTGGGCTCCCCGGGATCAGTCCTGAGTGTGTCCCCTGCTCCTCTGTCACTCAGCGGGCCAGGGAAAGGGTTTCTGCCCAGTGTGGAAAAGCACCCAGAGGCCTTAGCGACACCCACTCCCCAGGGCTGGCAGAGACTCCCCAACTCCCCTTCACCAGCAGCAGGGGGGAAGCTGGGACAACAGAGCCATTCTCTCCTCCCGCTGGGCGGCCAGGAGATAAGGCGACCTGGGTGGGGTCCCCTGAGGCCACCTCTCCGTGTCCATGTCCTCTCCCGGCCTCTCCCTTGTGGCCTGATCTCACCCTCTTACAGGACATCACAGTCCTACCGTGTCCACCCCACTGCTCCCACCTGGCCTGATTCCTCTGTGAAGACCCCACCACCAAAGACAGCCACTGGCCAGGTGCCTGGGGTGGTGGCAGCAGCAAGCAGGATGGAGGGACTGACAGGAATGGGTCTGCCTGCAGAAGGGGCACTGGGGGTGAGGATGGAGGCCACAGGTAAAGGGGAAGGGTGGGGGGAACATGGCGTGAGCGGGAGGGACCCCCCACCCTGGCTGCTCAGCTGGGGCCGGTCACTCTGCTGCAGTCCACTCTGTGCCTTCCTGAGCGGGGTTCACACAGGGTCTTCAGGACCCCCCTTCCAGTAAGTTTCAGGGGGTCCTGGTCACCCACAGCCTCCTGTATGGCCAGGTCCTAGCGGCCCAGTAGCTGGGCAAACAGGGCCTGGAGGCCTTCAGGGTAGACAGGAGAACTCTGTGATGCCCAAGCCCAGTCAAAGGCCTGAGCCCTGGGCCCGTGCAGCCCCCTCTAATAAGCACCCCCACAAATGAGCCCCAGCAGGAAGCCCGTTAACACCCAGCAGGGGCAGACTCGGCCCCCAGAGGAACTTCAAAGGACATGCCCTCAGCCCTCAGCCACCGGGCCAGCCCAGGAAGCAGCCTGGCGACTTCAGGAAAGGAGGCGGCCTATAAATCAAGTGTCCAGCCCCAGATGCCTCTTGGTTTATTACCCCAGAGGCCAACTGGGTCACAAAGTCACAAAGGCTCAAGACCTCTCTGAACAGAATCTTTCTATAGTGGGGGAAAAAACAAGAGAATTTCTCCCGTCCCCTTTTTTATTTCTAAGAACATCCATTTGTGAAAATAATCCCCACTGCTCTGAACGTGCTACACCACAGATTTTAGATCTTTAAAAAACTAATAGAATCCGAGCGTGGTGGTGCCTGGACATAACCCCAGCACTGCGGAGGCTGAGGCAGGAGGACTGCCCCAAGTTCAAGGCCAGCCTGGGCTATATGGTAGGCTCAAAGCTGGTCTGAACTACACAGCGAGACTCTGTCTCAAAAAAAAAAAAAAAAAAAAAAAAAATGATAATGATAATGATAATGTTAGGCCCGATCACCAATTTGCCTTTGTGCTGGAAGTAATTTCTGGCGTGGATTTACTCCTGCAGTGATGGCCTGGTAACAAGGCAGGGTGTCCACTGACAACGGCCGCTTCCTTCCCACCCCAGAAATGCAGACATTGCAGGGGCGCTGACCTGCAGGTCCATCTGCGCCCTGCCCCCAGCAGGGATATTAATGCAGGTACAGGTGAACCCTAACTGCTCAGGATGGATGATAATTCAGTCTGGGGCACGCTCAGCACCCCGTTAGTTCCTCCAGTCTTCAGGACTGACTGAGCACCCTGATCCCAAGTGCTCAGCCTGGAAGTGCTTGGATTTCAGATTTTTAATCCCTGCACATCTATCACACCGTGCCTTGAGGACAGAACCCGGGCTGAAACACAGAATTCACCCAGGTTTCCCATGTGTCCTGCACTGACCAGCAAGGCAGCATTACACGTCCTGTGGGTGACCTGTCCTAAGGTCAGCTGTGCAATCTTCCACACCTGACATCTCGTCTGGTCTGCACTCTGGGAGATTTTGGAGCATTTTGGATCATATTTCAGGACTAAGAACAGCTCACTTGTATTTAGTTTTCCCTTGGTTCACAAACCATCTAATCCCTCTGCCTTAATAAATCAAAATCCCCCAAGTGTCTGCTACAGATCAGAGCTGCAGTGGCACTAGGTCTCACCCCGCCCTTGTGACAATTCTCTCAGTGTAATGGTACATACACTGCGTGACAGGTTTAGAAGTTTAACTGAAGACTCAGCAGGGAGCCAGCTCCTTACTTTGTGAAGAGGAGGGCAGGGAGAGGGTGTGAGGGCCACACCTGCCCCAGGCGTGCTAGCCTGCTTACAGTATAAGGGAGGAAAGAGGCTTGCTCTGGCTGCTGCCCTGAAGTGTTGCCCGGGTGCCCTGCCACCCTGCCTTGGAGCCAGCAGACTATGGACTGAAACCTCCACAAACTGTGAGCTAAATAAACTTCCTTCATTCTGGGTGTCCGGTGCTTTGTCCCAGCCATGAGGCAAGACTAACCAAGACCCTCAGTAAGTACTGTCGCCCCCACTCTTCTAGAGCGGGAAACTGGGGCTCAGAGTTGAATCACCCGCCTAAGATCACACAGGGGGAGAACAGCGGACCAGGCAAAGCCAGGTCTGCAACATCACCCCTAGATGTCACCCACTCCCTGTAACGGCCTGTCCCCGTGCAACTGGAACCAGGGACTCTGCTGCCCAGGCTCCCAGGACCCAGCAGGCACTTTGGCATTGAACTTCACTTCTGATTCTGAAAGTGATCTTGAAGATTATCTATTACGAAGCTTCAAATAACCTTTAAGAACCCTAATGAACACTTCACC